AACAGTACACCCTGATAAGCTTTTTGCTGAGGTTATATTTTACCAGGTTAACCTTTCTTTTTTTTTTTTTTTTACCCTTTTTTAATGTTTTAAGACAGAGTTGGGAAGACAGCCTAATGATAACACATTTTCACTTTTTTTTTTTTGGTTAGTTTTGTTTCAAAATTCTAAAAGTTTAAAGTTTTGTTAACATATTCACGGTTAGTGGATCTATTCCCAGGAATCTTTCTGCACGAAGTGTTTTCTTGTATATCACAGGAATTTAGAAATGTCTGAAAATTTTCTTTGATTTGCATTAATTGAATCAATAAGAGTTGTCTAGTCATTAATTACATTTAATTTTTTTATTCTTTTTAAGAGAATCTGCATATTTTACTAAATATTTCAAATTAGGTCTCGATGACTTTAGGGAAACTGGTCAATGTAACAATGTATATGATGTTTTATTCCTGCTATGATTTTGACATTGCTTAAAAATAATGACTTAAAAGCAGTGTTGTTAAATTTGCAATTTATACTATTGTCAGTTAAGTTGAAGTCTTTAACTATATAAATTTTGGTAGAGTCCAGGTTTAATATCATTGCAAGGCTTATCATGATATTCTGAATTATAAACTGAATTAAGGGATATCTTTATGGTTCATGAATTGACTTGAGGATTTTTATCGTGGAAATAAATAAGACATGAAGGCGTGGAGAGAAACGCCGCCAAGGACTAAAGTTTGGCTGCACCTGTGACAGGTAAAGGGGAGGGAGGGGGGAGGGGGGTTCCACCTGGTCGGGCTCTTCTAATGTTTACTCCTCCCGTCAGTAAGTCAAGCTACGTGGAGCAAGGATGTTGCACTTCCGCTTTTTTCCTTTCACAATAAAACTTCACTAACGCGAGTAAAATATTTTAAAGTATAAGATTTAAAAAAATGTAACATTTTGTTAATAATCTCGTTACTAAAAAGAATTAATTTAATTTCTGTCTAAATAAGACGCTCAGGAATCTAAATGGGGAGATTTTTTGGCATCATTACGCATCATCATTACGCATAGAGCGCGCGCTGGCTTTGCTCCATGTCACCTTCTTTCTGGCTTGATTAAACTGAGACAGGGATGAAGCTGGTGTGAGATTTCACTCCTCGGCTGTTTCATTGTGCGTTTCTGTGCGTGGAGGGAGCGGAGTTCAGTTCGCCAGGGGGGATACGTTCGTGACAAATCCCACGGAATAACGCTTTAAAAGAGTTGGATGATCTGGAAACATCCGCGCAGATTAGTGGAGGACGCAGGTCAGGATGTTTCATTTTCTTGGATGAGAGCCGCCGGGGGACTTTTGCACCGGGACCGCTGGGGCTGTGAGGAGCGGTGAAGTCACCGGGGCGCTCACCCACCAGGAGCGGCTGAGCGCGCCCGGCTGGCTGCGGGGGAGGGTGGCGGTCACCGGTCACCGCGCGTCCCGGGGTCTCCTGATGATAACAAAGCGCCTGATCAGACGAATGACTTTCTATTCTGGAAATATTTTCGTCTTGAACCAAAACATGTTTAAGGAGTTTTTCCCCTTGAAGAAGCTTCGGCGGAATGGCAAATATTTTCTGTTTGCCGCAATTCTCCTCTTTGCAGTTTTGGCAATTTACCATGAAATGCTCGCTGCAAGAGGGCAGATCGAGGATGTCGGTGAGTTGGGATTCAACAAGTGTTTGGTTCTTTAACTTGTAACCTGCAGGAATTAGAAGTAGGCTAAATATATATATACAAGGTGGTGCATTCCAGGGGAGTTTACAGAAAATGTCAAACAGCAATAGTCCGTTTCATTCATCGCTTTTGCGCATATCTGAAGTTCTTTTGTTTTGAGTTGTCACCTCATTTCTGAAGGAGCTCCGACATTCTTCCAAGATCGTGCAAAATTAAAAACAGCAGCTTTTTAAATTGCATTTAACTTCAAAATGGCTTGCAAGTTTCTCATACCCCATTTAACAGCAAGAACAAACTTTGGATTTTCTGAAGTGAAAGAACGAGGTGAAGATCTTTTAAAATTAATTTTTATATCAACTTTTAAATAAAATAATAATTTAGAAATAAAAATGTGGCATGCACTAGAAGTTCAAATGTTTAAAAGTTACCAGAGTGGATAAAGCAGTGCACTTGTTTATAATCTGATTTCAAACACACGTGCTTCGCTCTCAGTGGTCTAAGCGGGAACATTGAAGAACACATATAATTAAGTCCAAGTAAGTAAGCTTTATTTATACAGCACCTTTCATAGATCAGAATGAAAATAAACACATGCGTATTGAGAAATATGTGTTTTGAAAAAAAAAAAAATCAGCCTAATTAAGTCCGCACAAAGCTGGAGGCAACACATTCCATATTATGAGGGCTGCAGCTCCAAAGGCTTTATCCCCTCAGGTTTTAAATGTGCTCATGGGACCATTAGCAGTCTTTGACTGGTAGATCTAAGACTGAGGGCTATAGGTCAGAAATTTTGGCTGGGGCTTTTCCATACAGGACTAACATAGGGGTTTGTATTATTAAATAGATTAAAACACCTCCCTCTAGCCAATGTAAAGAAATCCAAACTGGAATAAAAAAAAAAAATAAAGAAGATAAAATGACGGTAAGGAAAGTGAAGATAAGATTAATTAAAGTCATGTTGACACCAGAGATCATCTGCAAGAATGAAACTAATTATATGGTAGAATCAGAGTAATAGCAAGGTTTCAGATGATGTTGACAGAAGATGCCTGTAATTGTGTTCAATTTTTGCTTTGCCAGAAGAATCACAGCAAATGCAACACATCAAAATACTCTGATCTATTTGGTCAAATTACATGCAAAATTCTTATAGAAAAAAATAATAGATTGCCTCACCCTGAAGAGAATTTTTGCATGATAGATGGTGAAGCTTGTTAGAAAGGATGATATTCAAGAAGATAGAATAGAATAGAATTCAACTTTATTCTCATTATACTGTCGCAAGTACAAAGTAACAAAATTCACTCTCTGCATTTAACCCATCCCCTTGGGGAGCAGTGGGCTGCCATTGTGCGGCACCCGGGGAGCAGTGTGGGGTTAAGGGTCGTGCTCAGGAAGCCAGAGTGGCAGTCCGCTGGAGAGGAGCTTGAACCACTTGGCCACCACTTCCCTAACTGAACATGGATAAAGACAAGAGAAAACTAGAAAAGCCCTAGGTGAGCGCAGACCTCTGCTCACCTAGATAGATGCACCTTTAGGTAGAGAAATGGTCTTACACATAGCGTTACTGTAGCGTTACTGTAGATGAGACAAAACTCCTAACCCTGCCGCTGTAACTGTGAACAAGCTGATATTACACTTTCACATAAAAAAAAAAAAAAAGAAGTGATCCGCTCAAGAATTTGACTCTAATCTGTTGTTGGTCTATTAAGAAAAAAACAAGTTCTAGCAAATTTAGGTATTTCTCAGTAAACAATGAACTGCTGCAGTTACAAAGCCAAAGATTCACAGTTACAGACATATTAAATGGTTTTATTTAGGCTAAAGTTTATAGACTTTGAGTTTCCAGATGATGTGTTTAATAAGTTTAAATGGAACAAGTTTGTTTCAGCCCAAATACTGCTTACAGCAACTGAAACCTGCTATTAGTGCCTCAAAGGAAAAGTCAGGTGAAAGAACATAGACAGGGGTAAGGAGGGGGAGGTGGAAAGGTCAGAAGGTCAGTTTAAGCTCAGACAGAAATCTTTTCTTTCAAAAAAATAACCACACTTCCTGCTCTCTCTGCTTTATTTACACCTCATGTCACCATTTTCAGCCTCATTGTCAGGCTCAGCAAACTGACTGAAGGATGTGGCTGCGGCTGCAGAGTCGATGTAGATAAAAGAAGAAAAAAAAAAACGTCAGTTGTCAATTTTTCATCTGCCTACAATAAAAGAAACAACTGCATGATGCTGATGCATTGAGCAACACGTCAGCATGTGTAGAAAGGTGCTTACTGCTCTTACATTTTTATTCCTGAGGAGAAATGGCGTCATAACACTCCCTTGGGGAAGTGTAATGGAAATTCTTTTGATTCTGCTGAAGCGTAATCATCCGTATGTGGACAGTGTTAGTAATTATCCTGATACTTTTAGATTAGGTTAAGGCAGGGTTTTTTTTTGGCTTTTGAAGTTATAACTTAAAGTAAACAGAATTGGTTACCATGTGTGTTTATTTATTCATCTGTCCATTCAGTCAAAGATATATTTAAAGTCTCAGTCTTTTAGTTCTCTTTTGTGGGGAAGCTAGAAAGTAGTGCTAAACCGTAGAATCTTTCTTATGTAGAAAATCATCAGATTTCCTTAGTTGCTTGGATTGAAAAGGGTTTAAACAATGTTCTTCTGCATGTGTCAGCTGCTCTTTGGCTTTTTATTTGTCAGATCAGACTCTAATCTTTGGTCATGAGATTATAAAATAAAAAAATAAAAAATTCTTGCATTCAAGACGGTCAAATTAGCTTTATCTCAATAGTCGCTGGCCTCATCTATAGAATGAGATGCTCCAACATCCTGTGGAGCTGCTGCTTCAGTTCATGCACGTAATATATGCTGGACATAATTACATAGTTCACACACAGACAGTTCCAGAATTGGGGCCACAGCCAGTTTATTATCATTATTTAAGCGTTTGGTTAGAAGCAGAAGCACCTCCAGCATTAAGCAGAAAGAATAATCTATTTAATCACTTTAAAACCCTAGAAAGATGTGTATATGTACAACCATGGATAAAACTAATGCAGATGGAGAAAGGTTTCACAACACAAGTTAATTAAGTGTTTATTTCCCCATAAACAATATTTAAAGTGTAACTCACCACCAAATTAACTGTATTTTGCAGATAAATTGTGTAAAATGGGCTAAAAACATGTTATTGCTGCCTTAGTAGGGGTAAATGGTGGCTAATGAGGTTAAACCCTAATGTGCTTTTAATTTTATAAATATATTTAAATATATATATATAAACGTGTGCTTGAACCCCAGTCAGCCTCGGCAGATGGCTGTTCACACTACTGAGCCTGGTTCTGATGGAGGTTTCTTCCTGTTAAAAGGGAGTTTTTCCTCTCCACTGTTGCTACGAGCATGCTCAGTGTGAGGGATTGCTGTTGAGTCAATGTGTCGATGCAATCGGTTGGTTTTCGTTTGATAGAAACTTGGAAAAATCTGACTGTATGCTGATGGTTGAATTGTCTCTGTAAATTGCACTGAGAGGACATGTGTTGTGAATTTGCGCTATATGAATAAACTGAAATTAATTGAATTGAATATGAGCGGTCAAAATCTTAGGGCTTGGAGCTACCATTCTACATTTGAAAATATTATAACTTAAGTCGCACCAGTTAAACTGGTACTATAACGGATCAAAATCTATTGTCAAAACATGAAGGCTGAGTTTAAGCAAAAAAATTGTGAACATGGTTTAAATGTTTCATTAAAGCCAACAATCAATGATTCAGAAATCAAATTTGGCAGAACCGTATAAACGTTCATCATATCTTGCACAGTTCGGCTTCTTCAGAAACAAAACACACAGCCTGCACCAAGAAACAAACATCGAAATATCCTGAGGCCAGGACTTATGAACATACATGAATCTTTCATAACATTGTAATAAAGAGAGCTTTTTACCTCTAATAATAGCAAATAGAGGCTACAGGGCTGTTTTTGTATTCCGTCTGTATCAGGGCAATCACATGCTCCTCACCTCTACCTCAGAGAACAAACCGATCCAGACTGGCAGCGCAGGTCGCTACGGGATCACACACACACTGAGGGTTTAAGATAGGGCCCTTTAAGGAATAGTTTGTTTTTCCCTCATGTGGGTCAAACAGGCATGCAGCACAGAGGAGTTAACATGGCTGAAGTTGGTTAATATCCTGATAAAGAAAGGAAACCATTTCAATTCTTTAAGGCTGTATGTAACAATCCTGTTTTATATTTTCACTGATATTTGAGAAATAGAGAAAGGTCACAGTGGAGGTTAGGTTAGGTAAAAAAAAACATTGCACCAGTCTGTCTCTAGCGTCATTTATGATTTTGGTATTTGCTCTTTCCTTGGAGAATATTTTGACACTTACTGACTGTATTTGGTATTCTGTAGATAAAGGGAAACTTCTAGTTTACAATTTTTTTTCTCTGAGATAAAAACTCATGATTCAGATTCTAAAGGTTGAAAATAATATAAAAATGAAATATTATAAAAATGCAAAAAAATAGTTGAAAATCATTAGCTGTCTCTACTTTTCATGCTTCTCTAAGGATAGGTTGATGGCATTATTTGACTGAATTTGAAGGTTTGATTTTTTTCTTGCCTCAAAAAAAATATATTTTTAAGCTATTTTAGTTGGGTTTGAACTAGGGCTCAAACAATTAATCATGATTAATTAAATTATTATTATTATTAAAAATAATCGTCAACTAATTTAGTAATCATTTAATCATTAACTGGTGTACAGAGTCTGTAAAACATGCCTTTATCTGACAGAGAAACCCACTTGTGATTATACCAAGATTGTAAATAATATATAAATATTTCGCATATAAGATAATAAAGTCAAGAAGTGGAAAAGTGGAAAAGTTTGAGTTTCACGTAGTTTAAATTCATAAAAATTCTTCTTCAAGGAACCTTTGTCTATCTAATTATTAATTGATTAATCGAAAAAATAATAGACAGATTAATCAATTTGCAAAGTAATCTTTAGTTGCAGCCCTAGTTTGTACACATAGTGTTTTGTTTTTTATTTAGATGTCCTTTTTTTCTGAGCCCTGAATATATTATAACATTAATATTGGTTCCTGCTTACAGTAGTTAAACAGAGCATTTCAAATAATTTGATTAATTAAAGTTTTTTTTTTTTTGTCTTTTAATCTTGCCTGATTGAACATATACCAGTTTAGACAAGGGGATATTTTTCACATAGTAGTTTCCTTACCTATAAAGATCAACACATCTTAATTTTAATGCCTTAAGAAAGCCTTAATTTTTTTTTTGCAACCAGTTTTTTTTGTTTTGTTCTCATCTTAACGCTTACTGGAGCTTTGCCATTGAAGGTTAATTTTTTGAGTCTGAGGGTATGATCATTAACCAGGAAACCTACACAGCACACGACTTGCTCTGCACAGATTTTCCACAAGGCTTGTCTACTTAGACACAGTCATAGCCATTTTTTTAAATACAAAACAGGGCTTCAAATCCCCTTTCCAGAAATATTTTATACCCAGCAGCAACTGGGTTAGCATCAGCTAAAACATAGAATCCCTTTTTATGAATGAACTACAACACACTTCATATTTATTGCCTCTCCAAGTAAAGGGAGGGGCCACAGATCTGTTTCAAGATACGATGGCTGAAATTTCTGATATTTATTTATTTCTATTATTAATAATTGTTCTATTTCTGAGGTCACAAGGAATTGGAACAGATTTGAAAACATTTTTGTTCTCTTTGAATGAAGGAAGACCAAGTTTACACTCCCTGCTTAAAGTGGAGCCACAACTAAGTCCTACTGCACGTGTCAGGGCTTCCCCATGCACACAGATATACACCTTTCAGAGAAAACACTGATTGTTTATGAGCTTTGGACTTTATAATTAACAAAAGCTTTTATTACCCCACCATAAAAGACAGCATCATAGAAGAAGTATTAGTATCATGTATATAGTACATAATAAAAAGTATAAGTCTGCATGAAAATACATTTCCTTTTTTGATCAACATTCCAGAGTTGCTTATGATGTCATATTGGCCTCCACATTTTAAGGGTGTGTATTTGGAGATCTCCACCCTGGTGGTAATGACAGACCTTCACAGGGACTTAATCCCAGCTCACTCTGTCTTACCACAAAGTCATAAAACAATTCCAAACATTGAGGTCCTATTTTGAAAAACACTGCCCTATAATTTCAAAAATTATGGAGAAGGTCAGTGGAGATAATTCTTTGCACCCAACTTGCAAAAAAGCAACAAATACTTTTTCCTAACACTTGAGATGGTTGTTTAGAAATGAACTGATTGACATGCAGATGTCCTCAGTTGTAAGTATGGACAGAGTAAGACTTAACAGAGATCCCATTATAGACTAAATGCTTAGGAAACTAGGGTTATAGTATAAAAACGGGCTGTAAATGTCAGTCTGCTCCAACTGCTGAGCTCATGGTAAGTGGCTGCTGCGGGAGATTTTATTTAAAGAAGAGTTTGTCAATCATTCTTTATGTATAATTCAGTGTCGTTGATTTAAGCAAAGCCTGAAATGCCTACAGTGGACGACTGGCTCAAAATTGTACAGGGGATTTATATACTGGACAAAATGTCATAAAAGGAAACCTTTTTCAATATCTGGTCAAAATGGCTCCCATTGCTCCCTGTGGTTTAATTTACCCTGACAAAGAAATACATTGTCATAGCTTGTATTTGATTACTATTTTGGACAAATGTAAAAGTCTGTCTGCTGCCCCATATAGTGAGAAGAATTAGACCTTTCCCTAAACTACTTACATGTTAAATGTTTGTTTTTATTGTAAAAAGCAAAACCTTTGGATTAGCGTATGCCAGTGTTATTATACACAGTAATGTTGTGGTCACTGGAACTTGGATGACCTTAACTGTAAAGTTTGCTTTTCCAATAAAATAAAACCCCCCCCCCCAAAAAAAAAAAAAAAACTGTTTAAAAACACAAAAGCAGCACACTCATGGTTTCTACTGAAGATTTTTCAAAAGATAAAAATTAACCCCAAAAAAAAAAAAAAAAAAAAAAAACATAGATGTCACCATTTGATGCACTGTACCAGATTATTGCATAACCTCTTCTCTATCTGTGGTCTCTGGGTAGATAACATACAAATAATAACAATACAATATCAGAGCAAAGCTGAACACAACTTCTACTCACACCACAGAGATACTAGTGCTATCATGTAATCACAATATCATAAAAAAATTCAGTAATTCCTACCAAAGATATATTATATCCATTCATTACATACAGACATGCGTTGTTTTTTAGTTTTTTTTGATGATTAAAACTAAAAACAAAAAACCCCAAAATTCAGTGTCCAGAAAATTATGGGCTTATGTTTTTTCTGCAGTTTTAGTCCTGGCGTATTGCATCTGTCACTTACAATACCCCATAGATTCTCTATGGAGTTGAGGTGGGGTGAGTTTGCTGGCCAATAAAAAGGGGACACCATGGTCCTTAAGCAAGGTACTGGTAGTTTCAAACCCTGCACACCTGCCTTGGTCTGATGGTCTTTCTTTTGTTCAGGTGGGTATCCTGAAAGCAACAACCTGAGGAGAGATGTGCTGAACCAAAAGGTGAGTTTGGGTCGCGGGTTGGGGGATGATGCAAGGGTCTATATCTGTTCAAGGCGGGAATAGAAGAAAGCAAGCCACAGCTAAATCAGACTGCATGTGTGTTCTAGGTTAGAAGAGACGATCGGCCAGATTGGGTGGAGGACTCGGCGGCTTGGGTGTCCAGCTTCACTCCGCAAACATGGAAACCAGAGGTTTGTGTGTGTGTGTTGTAGACCTCTTGCATGCTTCAGTGCTCCACCTAACCGTCTTTGAACCCCGGATCACCTGTCAGGACTTGCCCGCTTTACTCCCAGCTCGCTGCGTTTCCTTGTTTACAGTGTCGTTCCTGCAACAGTCTCCAGCAGCTTCCACTGCTTTGTATTATCATGCTTATCAGATTTCCCCCTATTTTAAGCAGGAATGTACTTCAGCCAGCTGCTTCACCTCCTGTTTCATGTATGACGGGAGCTGTTGTCATTTCTGGTTTTACTTGCCAACATAATCTAAGTTTATTGTAATGTGGGATTAGGTAGCTTTTCATACACCTTTTTTGCATATTCTCTTCCATTTTGTTACAAAAGCTAAAACCAGACTTTTAGAGAGAAGCCAGTCAGATGTGAATAGATTGTCCTCTAAAATAAACCATTAATATATTAAAATGTTGCATTTAAAGATGGGTTAAAAAAGATTGGGAATTTTCTGATACCTTTCAAAAGGTAATAGTTGATATATTAATCATTGTCAGGTACACAGGGATGGGAGCATATGTTTTATGCACTTGGATGTATTTCATATTTTTCCAGCTTATGTCACAACATTAAGGGCTGTATCTGGAAACATTTAGCGGACAGTCCTGCATTACAACAGATTTGAAGTCTTAAGTAATCAATATTTCCACTTTTTTCACAGTAGCTTCAGTGTTTAAACACAAGAAGAACAGACAAACCTTGCCCCATGTTAAAAGCCACAGGTATTGCAGAATGTCTTGTTCTACATTTGGTTTAACAGAAAGAAACTTTGTTTCAATCTTTAGTTGCTCAAGTAGGATTTTTTTTTCAGAAATTGGCAGCCATGTTTCTCCAGTAAATCATACTTGGAAAAAGCAAATAAATTGTAGATTAAAGCTGCCTGGACTATTTCAGGCGCTAAAGTTCATGCTCTTTGAGAACTTTCTATAATTGTTGTAAGTGAAATATTAAAGTAAGATTGTGGAAGATATGATCACATATTTTTATTCTAAATACTTCTGCTGCTATTTAAATTGACAGCAGAGAAAATATAGCTTTCAAACTAAATGTGTTTAGCAAGCACAAAATAGACATGATAACTACTTTTCCCTGTACCCTTGTTGCCATTTCTGTGCTTTGGGCATGTTTATATTTAGAGTAAAAAAGTGCTGTCTTCCATGATTTACATCAATAAATATACTTGTGGTGAAGAGCTGGCTGCTGGTGTTAAATTTAAGACCTATTTGAGCCAACTTCCCTAAAAGCTCTTTCAGCTTTTATCTTCCTCTTCTTTGCAGCCAGTCACCTACATTTCTCTGATTTATTTTTTATTTTTCATATTAATATGATTATTCAAGCGGTTTGCTGTCAAATTCTGAATACTATCGTTGCCCTGTGGATTAAAGTGTTACCTTCCCTCTCTGCCCACACATCAAATATACATATTAAGTTTCAGAAATGGTGAAGATTCCAAGGAATAGAGAAGACATGGGAGAAAAAGGGATGGAGAGTAGGATAATGTTTCGGGTTAGTTATAATCAATATAGTCTCTGTAGTTTCTAGTATGGAACTTGCATGTTTCCGTAATGCTGTGCTAAAGATTATTGCTGACATATGAGTTTTAAAACTGCCAGTTATGTTTGAAACAAAAGAATGACTTTCAATACGTTAAACTTTTTTAAATTGCACAAGTGTTTGTGCAAAAAGAATAATAATACATGGCAATACATGGATACTCCTTTTCAAACTGCAGCACTTCTATATGCAATAGTAAATATAAATGATTTTTCATCCATGCTTTTAAAAGCCTCCTTAGTTTTCATTTATTATCTTTCAATTACTGTTTCCGAATGTTAAATCTAATATACCATCATTTATTGACATGAGTTTTTGGAGAGTAATAGTTACTCAACCATTTATACGTTTGAACAAGTGGATCCATGACAGAAACCCTCAACTAATTATTGCAATTTAAAATATGCACTGGCAATGTGTGTGTGGGTGAATTCAAGGTAAAAAGTAAGTAAATACTCCTAATTTGAGGGTTTTCAGCTATGCATGACCTGGACTGAACCTGTTTTTAAAATGATTAAGATTTAACTGCAAGTTTAAAACCTAAAAATAACAGATTGGGCTTTTTTATTAACAAAAAATGTGAATCAATGCTGAGGAAGTGTGCAGGGAAATTAAACACACCACTCAAACCAACACAGTGTTCTTTTCCTAAGCCTTTATCCATATATGGGTCAAAGTAGAAGCAATTACAGAGCATATCTCCACCCGGGCCACGCCTGTCACAACAATGATACCTGTATGTCTCAGGCTTTACATAACATGTTATCTCTACCCCCCATGTCTCAAAGCATTTCTTTGAGTCATAGAATGTCAGGCTATTTACTGTAATTGTTGTAAATTCTGCATACAGGAAGTTTTGATTCAGTTCATATGTGAGATCAAAGCAACAGTGTTAGCAGGTCAGCAAGCAGAGGAAAAGCTTTAACAGAATCATTGCTGAAAAACTTGAACCTAGAGCTTCATGCTTCAGTCAACTAGACCGCCCCCACACTCTGAGTGAATAGTCCTTCTAACCTTAGTATGAAATAATAATGTAACCATGAGCAACCTGCATTGGTAATATTAAAGAGTTGAAACCTTATTCTCATTACCAATTGCTTGGCTGAACCACTAATGAAACCGGATTGACCGCATATTCTGATATGGCTCTCAGGCCCGGTGTCATGTCCCTGCTCTGTGATCAACACGCTGAAGGATCAAATGACATGGCCCCTTTGGCAGATGTCACAGAGGTGTATGTTTACAGGACATCTGGGCCTCTTCTGAAACCCAACAGATTTATTATGGGAACGTCGTATTTTTTTTCTTCCTGCTGACTTTGAAATGAAAAGTTGAAAAAGGGACATTTTTTAATCACTGTTCATCCATTAGTGTTTTCTTTTTCTTTTACTTGACCACACATTGAAAAAAAGACAAAGGTTGGATTTCTTATTGTGACATTAAAATCCTTCTACATTGATAGGTACCTCTAATTTAATTTTTCGATTTTGTGACACAAATCATTTGCTTTGGTTTACCCTTTGAAGAAACCTCTATGTTTACATATGCAGGAAAGGGTTTAAAAACCGCTGTTATTGTGCCATCTGAGCAAGTATGGTTGTTGGTTTTAGTTTGTAAAAAATGCTGAGGCTGATCGGTGATCTGCCCTGCTGCAGCAAACACAATGTTGTGTTGATATATATATATATATATATATATAAAACGGTCTTTTCTCTTTCTGCTTGCCATGCAGTTTAAGGGACAGGCCAATCTGCATGTGTTTGAGGACTGGTGCGGCACTTCTACCGCAGAGTTGCGCAAGAACCTGCACTATCCTTTGTATCCACATGTAAGTAGAGCTGTCATCCCTTAGTCTCTTCAATAACCTGTTTAACATGTTATGACATGCGTGTTATGAGACAAATCCATTAGAACTTCCTTAACAATTTTTTTTTCTTTTAAACATGCAACATGTGGATCTGTTTTGAATATATGTACAAGCAACATTGGCCCAGAAGTTTTGTTGATTTATGATAAATGGTAAATGGCCTGTACTTATATAGTGCTTTTTCAAGTCAGGAGACTTCACCAAAGCGCTTTACACTCCAATCAGTCATTCACCCATTCACGCACACACTGATGGTGGCAAGCTACATTGTAGCTACAGCTGCCCTGGGGCTCACTGACAGAAGCAGGGCTGCCGTACACTGGCGCCACCGGGCCCTCTGACCACCATCAGTAGACAATGCAGGTAAAGTGTCTTGCCCAAGGAAACAACAACACTGAAAGTCGGAGCCAGGGCTTGAACCGTCAACCCTTCGATTTCAGGGCAAACTCCTACATCCGACGCCACTGTCGCCCCAATTCATGTTTTTGTTGTGCTGTTCTCCTCCTTTGTACAAGTGCAGCTGTTTATATAAACAACAGTCACTGGGTGCAGTCAGGTTCCTTTGAAAACTACTTCAGACCTTATCATATGTTATCAGAATGTCAGAGACCATGAGTCTGAACCTGCAGCTCTGGGATTGCATGGGAACCAATTTCTTAAAATGACTAAGAACTGAGCAATACGTCTAAATTCAAAGTAATAAATTTGTACACAGAGAAAAGCCCTCTTCCCTTTTTTTTAAACACTTTTTCAGAAAAGAAAAATTTTATTTCTTTAATTTAATCATAGATATTATTTTTTTTTTTTTTTGCTAAAGGCATTTAAACAATAGAGGCAGATGTAACATATTTTATTTAATATCATTTTAGATCAAGCTTTTCTGTTAGGAGCCCAGAGGTCTGTTAGAGAACATTTGGTAGACCATGGAGCACCATCCATCCATCCATCCATCCATCCATCAATTTTCCGTCACACGTATCCCTGCTGGGGTCGCGAGGGGTGCCGATCACCAGCTGCCAATGGCCGAGAGGCGGGGTAGACCCTGGACAGGTCACCAGTCCATCGCAGGGCAACACAGAGACAAACAACCATTCATGCACACTATAATTATGAGAAGCCAATTAACCTAACAGTCATATTTTTGGACTGTGGGAGGAAGCCAGAGTACCCAGAGAGAACCCACGCATGCTCAGGGAGAACATGCAAACTCCTTGCAGAAAGACCCCGGGCCAGGAATTGGACCCGGAACCTTCTTGCTGCAAGGCACCAGTGCTGCCCCACTGTGCCACTGTGATTGGAACACATAAAGTGGAATTTAATTCTTTAGAGAGTAGCCAAGAATCCCACTGGGAAAAGTTAAAAGGATCCATTACAGTAGGAGAAACTACTGAAATGAGTAAATCCGTCCATATTAAAAGAGCAAGAAGAACAGCATAAGAAGCCATATTTAATTTTGCCATGAATAGTGGTAGACCGATAAGTCAACCAGATTATATTTTTGGCTGATATTCTATTTCTTGTATCATATCATCTGATACATGCATGCTTTTGGCAGATTCATTAGTGCAATTGTTTTAACACTGGAGGGCGTGTCCCCTAGGGGTGATGCAGCGTAATTGCAGGGGGCGTGGTAGAAACAAACTGAACAAATTACGGAACCCGAGCTTTTATTTATTTTGTTCTTTATTGATAGTAGTGTTGTAAATCTTTTTTTTTTTTCTTGGTAGAATAATCAACAAACCTAAAAAATGAAATGTGAAAATGGGTTTAGAGATTAAGGTGGAGCAAAAACTTTCCAAAAAGGGGGTCCAGCAAGAAAAGTTTGGGAGTGATTGCATTAGTGCATTCAGCAGCCATGCCATAGGATCAGGTAAAGAATATGCACTGTCACACCCACTATCCACTATCCAGAATAGCAAAAACATACATATTCTTTCTTGATTTTTTACTTAATGTTTCTTTCTTTATGACGCTTGTGAAACGTTTCTTATTGTCTGCTTAAAGAATTAGTTAAAAAAATCAGTAGCATAAATAAGGGATCCAATAGACTGATGTCAAAGTAACTGTTATTGGCATGTTGGAAGCCACAGAATGATCCGAGACCCTAACATGCTGCCAGAGCTTAAAAAATTATTTGGATTGAAGCATATTTATGTTTTAGTGTGTTAAAGATAGGCTCTCTGTGTCTACACCTTGAAGCTTTCTCTCTCTGGTTCTTTTTCCTGAAAAGAGATCACTCGAGACAAACTCTTTAAATAACACTTAATAATTTATATGTATTAAATAACCATGAGACATGACAACAGATTCTGATAGAAATTGTAATATTACTCAGATCAGAGAAGTTGCTTAGAGTTACAGAAGGCAGCTGCATACCCCCAGGCTCACTTCTTGGGAAGTGGCCCAGATATACAGTTAAAGAGGCATTTTATACATCTCCAGTCTGCCACATCATCACATTTTACTTCATACATGTTAGCAGATGAGTTGACATCCATGGCTCCAGCCTTATCAAAATATTCCACTTTGTTCTTAGCTGAAGGACAACACTCTCATTCCATTGCCAAATATTTGCCACGTACAGAATGAAGATTATAACTGTATATCTGGACAGAGGAACAGTCTTAATTAGATAAAATATTGTGGAAAAACATCAGTTATGACACGCAACAGGCAGCTTATATTAAGGTGTAATAAACTCACACATCATCAATGATAATTATCCTGACAAAAGTGTGCCGGTCAAAATCTTACTAAACATCTCTCACCGCACAAGAACATTTTTGTTAGCAGACTTTCCATCCAATCTGATTGAGGAGGAAGAAAAAAAATAAACTTGTTTGGGAAAAGAAAACCATTTAGGGGTAATATATATTTCTTCAAGGCACAGTTTGCTTCATCTACTGTTTTCGGTTGTTTAAATGTTGACTTATTCCTGTTGTTGCTCACCAATTAACTGTTACTTTCTCTTTTGGTAAAAGGACCCTGCACTATGTTCTATCCCAAAAATCTACATGGACAATATAGACAATAGTACATTGATTAATCATGATTCTGTGATTAGTTCTGTGATTAATATCTGATTTTCCCTGTATTATTTTCTATTATCACTAATAAGCAAGTCAAATAAAAAAAAAATCATCAGTATGAATCTGAAAAGAAGGTTTCTTGTTTTTATAATATTTTTTTTTAAATTCAACACTCATATTGCTAACTGTAAACATATTTAGGGAGGGTTATGAGACTTTTCTAGAGTTTATTGGAAATAAGATCAAGTTTAAAGTATATGACACATCAGGGAGGATGATAATGTAATTCACTTATTTTCTGTCGGATTCAAATTGACTACATCTATAAGGAGCCCTTCAGCATATTTGACCTTTTCTCTTTGAAAAATGTATGGATTTAATCATTGATTTAAATGAAAGTTTAGACAAATGACTTGGTCTACTTTTAGAAAATCTGAAATGACACATTCAGACCCATAAAAGAGGACCCAAAAAGTAAGATTTCCAATGTGTTCTTCAATTCCTTGGTGTTTATCTGGGATTCCTGAACACCTAAGTGTGGACAAACGCACTCATGCTTTCCATCAGGGTGCATTCTACATCCATCTGCTAAGTTTTCTTCTCATCCTGCTTTGAGCCAACAGCAAGTCTGATTTATGATTTCCTTGTCATTCCGTTTTTCAGTCCAGGACCACAGTCCAGAAACTTGCCGTTTCTCCCAGGTGGACCAACTATGGCCTCAGGATATTTGGCTATCTACATCCATATGCTGAGGGTACACTCTTTGCAATAACATTTTGTAATATTTACTATTTTCAACATGGCACCCTCTCCTTTTTGTAACCTGGACATACTGTATTAACACCCCCTCCTCCCTTTGATCCCTTTAATATTCTTCTTCTGTCAGGAGACTTTGTGTTTGCTATCAGCTCTGATGACAACTCAGAGTTTTGGCTCAGCACAGATCACTCCCCGCGCAACGTGCAGCTGCTGGCCTGGGTTGGAAAGGTAAGCTTTTCTGATGCCTCCAAGTTTTAGAGCACATTTCGTCACTGTAGTCCCTGGGGCATGTTTGCACATGCTTTGTTTTTTTCTTTTATCACCAGACCGGCTCAGAGTGGACAGCCCCAGGGGAGTTTGAGAAATATGCCAGTCAGACCTCCAAACCAGTTAAGTGAGTACAGACTGCAGTGTTTGTTCATGCAATCAAAGAAAAAAATACTTATCTTCGGTAACATTTCAGACTCACTCATTCCACTGGATTCTGCCACGTCTCTTTTGGGGCGTTTTCTAAAAATGATTTATTATTTTAATTTTCTCCAGTTGCAAATGTTCAAATATTTTAAATATTCTTCATCTAATATTCTGACATAATCCTGAGCTTTTCTCCAAATGTATTATTCACTCTTTGACCATGAAAGTAACACTGCTTGATTGTTTGGGGGAGTCTAATCTGTATTTGCATTTTTCCACAAACAGCTTTAAGTCTGGTAATAATTTTAATCTGATGTATTTAATTGAACAGAGAGCAAAACAGCCTTTAACAAGAAGAGGCTAAGCTCTCTTATAAGTTTTTTCAATCTCTTTGATTCTGTCTTAGTTGACTGAATAGCTTCACCTGCCCATTTACATTCTGTCCATCAGTAAAAATGAAAGCAATGAGAGTGAGGATATGCCTAATATGTCATGCAAAGAAAATAAAAGTGTATGCAGTTATGCAAAATAAGTGCTTTCACACCTTGAGGACTGAACTATATTTAAAAAAACACACAAGCATCTGAACTCTTACCATTTATAGTCAAAGTGACTGCAAATCAAGATAAAAGTCTTTATAGGAAACTCTAAAACGGAACCAAGAAAATATGTACAGCAACATTATTTAGAATTGATTATATCCAAATGATAAAAGTCTGTTTTTTGATACTTCAGTTGAGAATGTGATCAAATGTCAATGCTAATTAGTCAAAGGTTACTTTCCCATAGTAGCTTTTGGCTTCTGCTTTTATGCTCAATTATTCCAAGATTATCTTTTACTGTGGCTGCGACACAAGTCAAACTTATCATTACCCCACCGCCGTGCTCAACACTTTCAACTAGATGTATGCTGATATGTTAGATTTATTATTGTTATTTTTTGTTGCATTAAGATTTAACTCTTTAAATCTAAGCAGCCCTTGATCAGTTTGTAAGTAGATTCAAGTAGATTCACACCTCTATCTTGCTCACATACGTTTCCATTTTGTCCCAACTTATGATACAAATTCATGATGGCTGATAGAAAATGGCCCACTGACAGATGAAAAAAGAAGGTCACTAAAAGAGGAAAACAGCAAAAGTTCAAAATGTTGTGGATTCAATTAGGGCTTAAACAATTAATTGGATAAATCGAAATTAAATGATTATTTGAATAATCGTCAACTAATTTCGTCATTTTTTTTATCATTAACTGGAGTATAGAGACTCTAAAACGTGCCAGGGCAATCCACTTAGAGCAGTAATTATACCGGGAAAAAGAATGCTCTATCCAGAGCTCCCCAAATGGAAAAGTTTTAGTTTCACCTAGTTTGATTTAGTAAAATGTCTTCTTTAAAGAACTTTTGGCTAATGACCAATCAAAAAAATTATCTACAGATTAATCGATTTCCAAAATAATCATTAGTTGCAGCCCTAGCAGGCACCGATCTCGGATGTGCTGCTGTATTGATTTAATGTGAAGCCAAAGCAGGTTTGTTTATATTGTACATTTAAAAGGCAAGACAATTCAAAGTGCTGCAACTCAACAGTGTCCTTCTGCACTAGAAATTCAGTTAAGTTTTTTTTTTGTTGCAATTTTGTTTGGTTTTTAACGACAACAAATGTTTTAACAACATGGTACGAATTGAACTTTTATTTTAAAAGTTTACCTCAACCATGACAGGAAATAATTTAATCGAGTCTTCACTTAAATCAATCCCTATCTCCTGCATAACAACCTATTCTTTCTGTATCATGACTTTTAATCTGATAAGAGCTTGTTATATGAAAAAAAGTGTTTCACTTGCTTCCACCTAAAAACATCTTACAGAAAGGGTATCAGAAAACTAAATCTGTGTAACTCACTAAACTAAAATGAACCAGAATACTACGTTTGTATTAGTTTCTTCTTTCTTATGTTTACGTTCGAACTGAACAGTGGCATTTTGATCAGATTTTGTAATCCACATTTTCAAAATTCACTGGGGATATATGACGCAGTGTAGGTGTAGCATGTCTTTGCAGGAAAAGCACAATCTGTACCATTCAGAGGGTTTAGCACAAAAAACAGAGAAGAAAGTGTGTATGTATTACGCAACCATACAAACACTGAATAAGTAATGTTTCAAGTGTCACTTTAAATCTGTTAATGTAAAAACTATGGTTAGCATGTCTTTTGAAGTAAATTACTTCCTTGACAGGAATGAGTAGGAACAGTACATCACTACCTCAGGTGATGAGAGTGCCGCAGAAAGGGAGAAGGTTTATTATAGACTTCTATTGTGAAGCTAAAAGTCTTGACAATTAACCGTCCTTTTCTAAAGAAAGAAGAAAAAAATCTATAAGTACCTTAAACCAACTCAACCAATAATGTTGAGAAAGATACACATCATTTCTGGTAAGAATATTTTTCTAAATAAAAGCCTCAATGTAGGACTTAGTCATGCAAATCCGGATTCCACATGACCAGTTGATTAAATCCATGTTTGAAAAGGTCATTTAGCTGCCCAATCAGTCTGGGAAGGATGAGAAGGCCATTTCTAAGCAATTCATAGTCCGTGAGTCAGGAAGAAAACTATAATTGCAAATTTAACCACAGATCTGCAGCTGTTCAGGGAAATTGCATAAAAAGGAGCCACACATCATGCTGTACAGGTTTAACATGACTTGGTTTCATTTTATCATAGCAGGTAAAAGCAGACTGAACGAGTCTAACTTGTTTGGTAGGATAAACACTTTGAAAGGGGAAACCCTTTCAAATAAAAGTACGTCTACGTGACTAAGGTTTGCAAGGTTTGTGGATGGTGAACCATAGTACAGTTATAGCTTACATTACACAAACTTCTTATATCAGCTGTTAAGCATGTAGGTAGAGGTAGAATGAGTTGGGCCTTTAGTTCAAGTGGTATGAACTGCACCCTTTGAAGTCAATAAGCCAACAAACCTCTCTGTAAGTCAAAGCAGCACTGAGCTACATGTGAAGCCATCTGCTCGACAGGGGAAGTTGGGCCAATTAGTCCAAGTAAGAGAAAAAGGAACCCAAAGTGGAGAAAATTCAAAACTGAACAGCAGAAATAATCCAAGGGATGCAGTTGATTTAGTCAAAGTCTAGAGCTCAACTTGACAAAAAAAAATGTTGGTCCCACGTGGACAGAACTCTGCAGAAACAAGTAACCGAAAACCTCATTAACCTGAAGCAATGTAAAGAAGAACGAGTTAGAATTCCTTCGAAATAATATGAGACTCATCGTCATGCAGAAAATACTTTCTATGTTGAATGTTTTCATCTTCTATTATCTTAGAGAAGCTTGCTTGATTCCTGCAGAAAAGCAGGCACCCACTAAATAGACTCCAAGAGGTCACCACAACAGAGCGGTGGATTCTAATCTGATTGTAAACATGCGGTGGCATTTTAGTAGAAAACGGATAGATAAAGCCTCTCTCCAGAAGGTAAATTTTTCAGTGAGCTTTATCACAACATTAAAAAAAAAATCTGCATGTTTTATAGGCTTTCTTCTCAGAAGAGATACTTTTTTGAAGTTATCCACAAGCAAAACGACAGAGGAACTGACCATGTGGAGGTGGCTGTAAGTACGAACGCACTCAGATCAATATCAATGTTTTCTTAGAAACAAGAAAAACTGGTTCCCATAACTGTAAGTATTAAAGTATTTTCTCTCCCAAGTGGCAACTGTTGGACCACGTCTTCGAATTCAAGGTTATTGAATCTAAGCACATCTCTCTTTATGCTGGTAAGTACCCCATCATTGTAGGTGAATGAGAATTTCATTCTGATGGTGAATATTTGTGCATCATGACTCATGCTTGGATTTGCATAGTGATTGATGATTTGCAAGTCACAGTACACATGACCCATTTCTCATATTCATGCTGCAGATGAGTCTGACTTGCTGCTGAGCGAAGTTGCCCACATACCACAGACAGCCGCGAGCCACCAGAACACTCCCACAAAGCAGAGCAGCGCTGCAGCAGATATGCTGAGGGAAGACCCGAGAGACTCGCTCTACCAAGGTGAGAGACGTCTCTAAATGGCTTCATTTCCTATCGCCCCGGAAGCTAGTGTTGAGCAAGTCTTCACACACCAACAAAGCAAAATATAACCATGATGCATATCTGCCTGTTGTTTGTTTTTCAGTCCATCTGATTAACAGCAAGTTCCTCCAAGGCGTTCTTCCTGATTGCACATACAACCCCACCTACACTATCAAAGACTACCCTCTGCTTCGTTACCAAGGACTGCAGTTTGTATGTCATTATGCAGTTTATGGTAGCTGGGTTAATGTTAGACTGCAGCAGTGTCAGGGGGTTTGGAGGTGGGGGGCTTTCTGGTTTCACGCCTTCTCAGGTGGAAGAAGGAAGTTGAGCCGAGTAAAACTAAAATGTGATGACTGGCAATGATTTAAGAGACACGAAAGGGATTTTACTGATAAAGTACACGGTGCAGTTCAGCTGAAGAGTGACAACATTAATATTGAGGAGCTATAGAAATGGAAAGTCAAACAGAAATTAAATTTCACAATTTAGCAAACAGTAAACACATTCTTTGTGAATTACATGGAGCCGATGAGCTGTTTTTAAATCCTAAATCTGCTAAATCAGCAAAAGGAAAAAGGAACATTTATCTTCTCCACGGATTCTCCTGACAGATTTTTTAAAATGTTTTAATGTCAAACAGTAAGGTTAAAATTTGGCTGAAAGCCACGGCTGAAGCTGTCAATACATCCACGGAAACACAACCGGCTCATTGTGGAGTAGGCCTTTTAGAGTAGAGCTGTGGAGAGCTGCATTCAAGTAAAAACGGAATGTAACAAATTCCCTTTAGAAGACTTGATCTATTTGAAACATGGAGGAGGTGGCATCATGCTGTGGGACTGCTTTTCCTCAGCAGGTAGAGCAAAGGCCACACAAGTATTGAGGGAAAATATTGATGTAGCTATGTAGGGGAATCCTATTGGAAAAACGTGAGCCCTTCACTCTGTGAAAGTTTTTGTAAAATCAAACTAGACTTGACCATGTTACTCTAAGTGAGCTGGATCTGACAGTTAGTACTATCAAACTGCCTTATGGAAATTAGTCTAATTCCAGAATTTGACCGTTCATGTGTATCTGATCATAAACTGCGTGCTCTAGGTTTTTTTGATTAGTTTACAATGTTTTCCTTCATTTCCATAGGTCCATATGTCCTATATCTACCCAAATGACTACACCCGGCTCACTCACATGGAGACAGAAAACACTTGCTTCTACCCTGAGAGCTCCTACTACAAGAAGATGTGAGACTTTTGTCAGAAATCATAAAATACGTGCGTTTTAGTCAATCAGATCATCCCAAAACAGCTCATTTATTTTAATAATAAGTGAGTCAGAACGACTTACTAAACATGTGGTGCTTAAAAACATTTGTGAAAGGGTTTTAAAAAATGAGCAAATTAAATATGCGTTAATGAAATAAATGAGCTTTATGGGATTTTCTGATTTATTGAGACATACTCATCTGTGTGGATGTCTTTGCAGTTTTTAAAGCAAAATTATTTTACCAAGGAATACAGTGTTTGCTGTTATTTATTGAATCATCTCAACAACCCGCCAGTGCCTTTTTAAAAACTTGGTTTGTTTCCACCAGGTATGGTTTTTCTAGATATATGAGATTTGATCGCCTGGATAAACACAAAAATGGAAACACAGGCAGAGGTACTTGCTTTTTTAATTTGCTTACATTAACATGCTTGCATAATCAGAATACTCTATTTTCAATTTCTGACCTTGCTTTCTGGTGAATGCCAGATTTTGGTTTGCAGAATAGGAATTCAGTCCAGGAGGAGGAGGATGACAACGATGCCAACGAGGAAAGGAAAGAAACAAGGATCGACCAGATGAATAACAATGTGGACCCAGACTATGGAGATGATTACGATGATTATGTGCAGAACCGTAGGCGCAAACTATTCTCCTTTGTTGCACAGGATGCTAATGAGACACTGGAAAAATCCCCTGATGAGAGAGGACATATAGAGGACTTTGAGAAAAGAAAAGAAAAGAGTGGAATTTCCAAACTTAAAAAAGATCTAGGAAAAGCACCTAAGGAGGTTTTAAAGCAAAGTATGCACCAAAACAGGACTGAGGAAAAACAAGAAGTCTTAATTGAAAAAAGAGAACCAGTGAAAAGAAAGGTCAGACCAGTTAAGAAACGCAAAGTCAAACCAGAGCAAACAAATCCTCCACTACCTGTTGGTAAAGAGATTAAAGCAAAGCAACAACCAGCCGTTCTGCCACAGAAACACACCCCCAGGCAACGCCCACTGCGGAGAGCTCAAAAAACAAACCATACTCAAATACGAACATTCAAAGACCCACAGGTTGAAATCCGGGATAGGCATGCTGCTGTGCCTCAGAAAACCAATGTAACCAATAAGCAGAATCTTCCAGACAGAAAGGCGTTTCATCCGGCCATCAACAGCCATTTTACCACCCCCAGCAGAACTGGCAAAGAATTTATCGTAAAATCAAATGAAGTGGAAACTGATCCCAGAAAAGGCCTCAGAGAAAAGGAGATAGAGCTGAATAAGCCTCTAAGGCAAGACCTGGACAATCAAATCAATGCCAATAACATGAATGATAGAAGAAAAAATGATAAAAAGTCGTATTTGAGGGAAGATGGAGGTCCCACAGACGAGGGAGACACTGATCATGTCAGGGCTGAAAGCAGAAAAAACACAACACAGGGAGATGGAGACTCCATGTGGGAGCAGCAAGGAGACTTGCCTATTGATCCAGACGAGGAGGATCAGACTCCAGCGCCAGTATTCGATGCTAAGGTCAACTGGAACCAAACCTTCCAGGTGGACCAGCTGGACCTCCAGTCACAACGTTCTGACTGGATTGACCTAAACTGCAACATCTCTGGAAACATGCTGCTAAACCCCAGCGATGCTTTGACTGTGGTTTATGCCTTCATGGATCATCTTAATGCAAAACACAACGGGTGAGCATCGATTTGACTGTTTGTACACAGAACTTCAAATATGAAAATAAGCAGCTAAGATATCCTTCTAGAGAAGCATTAAATGAGATGCATATAAAGTAAAATTTTGAATTATAAAGATCTATTATGCGGCCATGAAACCCGACGGTGGCGAGGCTTCAGGGGTGGATGAGATCCGACCTAAATACATTGGAGCTCTGGGTGTTGTTGGGCTGTTGTGGCTGACACGCCTCTTCAACATCTTGTGGCATCCTGGTACAGTCCACCTGGACTGACCAACTGAGGTGGTGGTACCCCTGCATAAGAAGGGGGACCAGAGGGTGTGTTGCAACCATTCAGTGGGTAAAATGAGTATTAAACATGCCGGAATTTTTCTCAGTAAATATATTTCTATATATATGCACTGGTATGAAATTCTCCCCAAATGCCAGTAACAATCCATGTATTCCACACATATAAAGAAATCAAACATAAATGTCCAAAAATAAGTTATGTTTGATAATGTAGAATGCTCCATTTTTTAATTACAGTTTTATAATATGATTTTATTTTAGTTTGCATTTTTTTTTATTCCTTACTAACTTCCAGGCAACATGTTTATGTTGTTTTTTATTTGAGATGAAAAGAAAAAAAATGCCTAATAATTAAATGCTCAAATAAAAACATTCTATAAAATAGTTTTTATTTTTCAATCATTTGTTGTGCATTATATTTTTGGCTGCAAGTCAAAAAAAGGTTGGGAAACACTGGATCCATAGATAGATCTATGCCCTGCTGCATACTACACTGGTCTGTTGTTGTAAAGAGAGCAGAGTGAATAGGCAGAGTTCTTTATTTACCCTCACCTATGGTCATAAAATATGTATCATGACCAAAAGAATCCCAGAAACAAGCAGCCAAAATGAACTTTCTGTTCCGGCTGGGTGGCTGGGCTCTCCTTTAGCAAAGGGGTAAGGAGCTTGATCATTCGGGAGAGGCTCGGAGTAGAGAGGGACAACCCAGGACACTATGGAGGCAACTCGGCGTTCCCCCCGCAGAGCTGGAGGAGGTGTCTGTGGAAAGGGAAGTCTGGGAGCCTCTACTGAGACCTGCATTATTATTTTGTCTTTGTTTACGCAGGCGATTCACATTGATCCGTGTGATCAACGTTGTGAAGCGTGTGGACGGTTACAGAGGAAGCCGCTACCTCCTGGAGCTGGAACTGAAGGATGCCAATGGCCAGCTGCTCCGCTTGACGCATTACATCTATGCTCTGATTCACCACAGCGAGCAATGGAGTCAAGACTTTGCCTTTCGTCGCTCGAAGCCTCAACTGGTTCTTTGCAACCCGGTGGGGTTTCGCTGGAATCCCGGCGCCACCGTTCATTTCATAGTGCCTGGTAAGCCACATCCTCTGAGGTTTTCTTATTGCAAGTCTCTGAAACTCTGAAAACAGGTTTCTAGTGACATGAACTAATGCAATTACATTATAAGACATTAACTTGAGGGAGAAGGGTATTGATTCAGTGCTGTGGTTGGGAGTGATTCCTCTTTACCATAAATTGACTGTTTGTTCAAAATACAAACAAATATGTAGCTGATTGTAGAGTTTGAGTTTCCATGGATGTCGTTGTTGGTCCTCTTCTTTTATTCTCCATTCCTGATTGTAATTCTGTTTTTTGTTTTTTTCCAATCTCCAGTCAAAAATCAAGCTCGCTGGGTGCAGCAGCTGATTACAGATATGGAGGAAGTGTTCAGACAAACCGGAGATTCAAACTTCAACCTGATCATCACAGACTACGACAGCACAGACATGGATGTGAAGCAGGCCCTGCAAAAATCCTCACTCCCCAGGTCTTTGCTTGTCCTTTTTTCTTTTTCTCCATGAAAAAAAGTGTAAGCTTAACTTGCCATTGCTGGTTTGACAGGTACCAGTATGTGAAACTGACCGGAAACTTTCAACGTTCGGCCGGTCTGCAAGCAGGAATCGATTTAATAGATGTGAGAACTGCAAAATGAAAAAAAAAAAAACAGCAAATAAAGTAGAATTTCAAATGTTTGAATGGAATTAGCATGATAATAATCCCATCCGATATTTCTTTCTCAGGATGACCACAGCATCGTTTTTCTTTGTGATCTCCACATCCACTTTCCTTCTTCAATCACTGACACAATCAGGAAACACTGTGTGGAGGGATACATGGCTTTCGCTCCCATAGTCCTCAGACTGAACTGTGGCAGTACACCATCAGATGCCAGAGGTAGTCAGAAATACCTTACAATCCTGTTTTTGCTGTGAATGTTCTCTTTCTCATTAAGATTTGGTGCAGTGAGCTGATTCAAGGCCCTTCCAGTTGTACTTTTCTGCAGATTTCAGACCAGATACTGAAAGGAGACAAAATATGTCAAATCTTTACTCTCTGAGGTTTTATATAGGATGTCAAAAACCTGCTCTCTATTATTTTAACTTCACGTCTTGATTATTTCTATCCAATGAATACAGGCAGTTCTAAAAATGTGGCTTTGCTATGAAATGTAATAAGCAATGAATAGTTACTGTTGTCTGCTGAAAACATAAATTTGCTTGCATACATTATGCATACAAACCACATAGTGTAATTAAAAAAACAATGCATTTAAATGGAATAAGGATATGTTCAAGTTGTTTTAGTTTTCGGTAATTTAAGCATTAAAAACCCAACCATCTCTTTTAAAAGGTACTGAAAAAAATCTGTCTAATAAAACATTTAAAGGTTTTTTTTTTATAGTTGTCACCTAAACTTAAAGCTACAGTGTGTAATAATTACAGGGATATACAGTCAGAAATGTAATATATTATACATAACTATGTTATTTATCATCATCTACAAGCTCAGCCTCTTAACCTTAATATTTGCGTTGCCTTAGAATTCGTTATTTATAATTACATAGGAGCTGGTCTCGCAGCCATGGAGGCAGACATCTTTGCGCTACGGCAGCGCAGAGCCAACAAACTAGCGATTGTGAGATCGCCCATTACGCTCGAAAGTAACTACGGCAAGTTGAGAGAGATGAACTGAGACGGTACTGAACAATAGATGGCGGTATTAAAATTATCTATGTAAACAAACCTCATCACTTGAGAAGGTAGGTGATGCGGACGTCGTGGAAGACATTTTGTCCCGTGACGCTCGCCGTACTGTTGGGGGGGAGAAGCGGTGGGGGGGAGATGTTCATGTTGCTGCGGTCTGCAGTCTGAACGTTAGATGTCGCTGAAAATTACACACTGTAACTTTAAGTATAATTCTTCCTTATATAGGTGGAAACCTATATAAGGAAGAATTATATGTAATAATCATGATTGATTTATTATTAAAACATTTATCAACCAATTGAGTATTCAATGTGGTGAGACTACTACTCACTCAGAGCAAACATTCAGCCAAACCCATATAAAGAATAAATACCTTTATTATTATTTAAATATTTTGGGAAAAATTGTCCCTGTTAGTTCATATGTTCTATCCAGAAATCCTCAGGTTGCACAATTTTAGCTTCAAAAGGTTAACATTTTTTAACAAAAAACATATTATATAGAGCACTGTTTGATTTCTAATTAGTAGCCTAATCAGCTTATCTAAAAATACTCAACAGTTTAATCCATTAGCAAAATAAACCTTTATTTTTGCCCTAAATAGGACATAATACATTATATAATTTTTATTTTATTTTTTTTTAACAAAACCTCTTTTAAGAAGTGAAGTACCTGTTTTTATTTACACTAAAAAGACAGTGTGTCTGATCATATTTTCATTGATCATTATAAAAGATTAAAATAATTCCAATACACTAAAGAAACCAAACTGGTGTTCTTGTTTTTTTTCTTTTCTTTTCTTTTTTTGTAGATTTTTGTATGTTTCTACTAGTATTCTGATGCCTTTTGATATCTGAAGGTCTCCTTGCCATGACCCTAATATTTAGCTTTCTTGACTCAGATCTTTCTCCTGTTTAAATATGAAAGCCTGTTAGGCTCTGTAGACAAAGTTTGTAAAATTACAAAGATTAATTTAAATCTAGATGTGGCAGCAGCTATAATAATTAGAAAAAGGTTCAGTCTGCAAACTTATTAAAATATGTCAGTTTATAAAGTTATGCACCAAAATGGGAAGAGAACACTTCTACATACTTTTTGTTTTTTTATATTTAAACAGGCTAACTTTTTTTCTGTTGTTTTTTTTTTGCGTACACATATTTGACCTTATGTTAGGAAGGATGGCTACTTTTTAATGTCCCAACACTAAACCTACGATTTAAATAGATTTTTCTGTTTTTGATTTATATTCCTGTTAGTCTATCAAAACATCACCTATTAATGTTCCCATTGTCGTTTCTGGCATCAAGCACACTAAAACCAAAAGCAATCCTCATTGTAGATGCTGCCTTTCCTACTTAAATCATCAGGTTAAACCTCTTCCTGACATAGTCTCATTATTTCTTCATATCGTAAAATGTTCTCATCTCTTGCTGACCAGATGATTGCCAGTAAGCGATCAGACTTCCAATAGAAGAGTGAAGGTCAAAGTGGTAAAAAAACAAATCATTAGACACTTGAGGTATGGACATATGTTTTTAGATTTATAGCACAGAACTGTACACTTGAGGATTTCACTTCTACTTTAAGTCCTTCTGTTTTGTTTTTTAATCGTTGCATTGTTTCTAAGCATCCTTTAGGAAGATGCTTAATTTTTTTCTCTTAAGTAAGATGTGTATTAAGGAGCATGTACATTTAGAGTAGAATTGTTTATCAAGTTATTGCAGCTAATGGTATAGGGATCATACTGATCTTTTCTGAAAAAAACAAAAAACTAAAAAAGAAGAGGAATTTTTCTCTAAAGAATCAAATTTCTGCACCTTCAGGTTACTGGGAAGTGAACGGCTTCGGTTTGCTGGGAATCTATAAATCTGATCTGGATGCTATCGGAGGAATGAACACCAGGGAGTTCAGGGAACGATGGGGAGGAGAAGACTGGGAGCTCCTTGACAGGTCTGCACTTCTCTCCCTCCTGATTCAATTTTGTTGCACCTTTTCCTCCTTTTGGCACCTTTTTTAACCATTGAGCCAATGTGACAATTGAATTTCTATTCTAAGTCTGTCTTATCTTATCTATAGGATTTATCTTATCTAGATAAGGTTTTAATTAAACAATTTAATCTAATATCTTATTTTTTTTATTTATTTTCTATAATATTGTTTTTACTGTCAAACATATTTTAAATTAAGCAGAGGATGATGAGTATGAAGGTTATGAAAATCAGGTTTAGTTTGATGTAGCTGTGTTTTCTAGAAAGGTTGAAACCTGTTTCCAGTGGGAACCATGCTATGCATGCTGTATGAATCCACAGGTATGAGTGTTATAATTACCACCTGGGCTCTATGGATGTTTTAGACAAATTTGAAAATGTTGTATAAAGATAAAACATAAGTAAAACTACTTTGATGTAAATAGTCCTGCAGCATTTGAAAGGCAAACTCTCCATTTCAGTGACCTCATAAAAAATGCCTATTTGCATGTGTTGCCAACTGAGATGTAAAGTAAAAGTAGTCAGAAGATCTGCTGTTCCATTTTATTTTTCAGAGTTAAAGTGTGTTTCTTCATTGTAATGGTTGTAGAGGGCATTAAATTCATCTCTACGCTCAAGTACACTATCGTAAAAATATGATAAAAGTAGTTTTTGAGTGGTGCACAATTATTTTAAAATCGAAAACTAATAGATGATCAATGCAATTATTCAAAGCCAGGCTCGGACGGATAATCTGTGATACCAGGAATTTGCCCGGTGGGTCTGTCCTAATTTCAAAATGCGAGGCCCGGCCCTCCTTAAATCATACCGGCCCCAACACTTACTCTCCGACCGAAGCACCTACCTGTGACAGTAAAAAAACTGAAGGAGCTCAGGAAGTAATACAATGTCAACTACCTAAATGATGCATGCAGTATATATAGCCCTGCCTTGTCATGCACATCCTTGTGACAGTTGGCATATGGTGTAATTTTCTATTTCTTTAAACTGTAAAATCCTTGCAACAAACTAAATTATAATAAAACCAAAATGCTTTCATTAAACCAAACTACGATGTTCCTCTTAAATTTGGTGAATTTATTTTCGAATATTTTTCAAAAATATGTTGCAGTGCATGATGGGGTTTTGCATTTAAGGCTAACGTTTCCCGTCTTACGTGCATTGTTGCCAGGTTGGGATGTTTCCTAATCAGGCAGTTTAGGATGGCCATCTATGGGTAGATTTATGGCCAAAGAAATCAATAGACTTTGGTTCAAATTGGGCAAGATTTCATATATCCAGGCGGTTGATGAACAGTTTTTGGGTTGGGAAAACATGAGTCGGTGACATCTGGCAACCCTGCTGATGTAGTGAGTGGCGCTGACGGCTTTGTGTCAAGGTGTACAAGTCACCGCTTCACCACTACTACTCTCAATAGTAGTAATATCAGTAGGACTGCTGGTTTTGTTGATTTCGGTCTGTTGACTGATGGAACCATGGTGTTTACATTATTCCATTTCATTGCCCACATGCCACCTAGACTCGAAGTGAATGCTTACACACCGCTGAGCTTTAATGTATTCATTCTTGAAGAAATGTCTGTCTGCCTCTATATGTATATATGTATTGTTTAATGTTGGTGTTTTTGCAACACTCGGGCTTACGTTGTACACCTAGTAAGTGTGAGTGGGTGTCTGGCTTCGTGCAAGGGTTGACGTTACGCAGCAGCAGTCACTGTCGCGTCAGTGTTAATAACCAAAGCCAGTAAAACCACATTATAGAAGTTTTGGTGATGGTTGTTGTGTGATGCTTGAAGATAGATTGGTTTAACCACAATGTGTATTCATATTGTGCTTCGATTTTTTTTTTTTTCCGGGGGGGCTGGTGTAGATTGAAAAATGCAAGGGCCAAAAAGCCTTTATCATGAAGCCTGAAAAATAAATGCAGCTGAGGTATTGTGTGTAGAATTTTAAGGGAAAAAAAAGTAACAATTTGGAGTAAATCAATTTGGAAAAAAAAATGCAGCACTGCAAAAACATTGGATGTGCTATACACTGTTGATTGTTTTCAACACAGAGTCAGCCTGAGGAAGAAAAGTGTAATCGTGGCAACTACTTTTTGCAATTGCTCTGAAGAACTAATTGTATACAAGGGACTATACACGGAAACGTGAGTGACCGTGGAAGGCTTTAAACGGGGGTAGAGGTTAGGCTTCTAGCAAGAAGAACCCCATAAACAATGAAATGGTTTAGATCAAAGCATCTTGAAAGTCCGCAACTAAATTAAAGTGAGAAAATATGTCAAGATTTGAAAATTGCTGTTCCCATCTCATTTGACAATACATTCAAGTATTTTGCTAAGAAGAGTAGGCAAAGATTTCTGTCTCCAGACATAAAACTTGAAGAGATATACACCAAAAGAGCAACTGCATTCACAGTGAAAAGAGGCAACATTGATTCAGTTCACATTTCGTTCTGTAGAAATCTTTTGACAAATTGTAAATCTGTCACATAAGATGTAGAAATGAGATTGTAACTTGTCCTTTTGATGAAAACATCCAGAGGTATAATTTATTTAAACAGTCATATGCATAATAATGAATTTATAAGGATGATGGTTTGGGTTTTGCTCCTAAGTGTTATTATGTACCCAACAATCAAAGCCGGTTTGTATTTAAAGAGAGGCATGCTTTAGTTAACCAAAGTTAAACTCTGCTCTGTGCTGCAGGATCCTCCAAGGTGGACTGGAAGTGGAGAGAATCTATTTGAGGAACTTTTTCCACCACTATCACTCCAAACGAGGCATGTGGAACCGGAAGATGTCAATGAGCCAAGTGTGATCCTCATCCAGCTGCGACGCCTGGGCTTTGTCACGCCTACAGCCGTGGACACCAAAGCACTTTAAGGCTGGACTATGTCTCCTGCTGCGTCTGTGTCAAACCTGCTGACCATCGGAGACAGACAGAGACATTAGATCAGCTACTGACTTCATCCACTCAGGCTGTTTGATGAATGTGGTAGCAGTGGAGCTTATTGTTACCGAGGTGATGCTGCCCAGAGTTTATTCACTGGATTCCCTGCTGACTACTACTACTGTAGCAGATGATAAATGGCACTGAGTTTAAGCTCCCGCCATTCACCCTGCTGCCTGATGAAATGCTAGTCTGCATCAGAGGCTGAAAGCAAAAAAAGGAATTTGATCCAAAGATGAAAACAGACCCATACTTACACTCCAGGAATGTATGCAAGAACACCCAAGTGTCCTTTTTTGTTATGATCAGCCTGGCACATGAGTCCTAACTGGCGGACAAAAGGATGGAAAAGTTCATGTTTGGTTTGTCTATATCTTAAAAGAAAGTTTATTTTGTAAAGTACAGATTTAATATTTATAAAATCAGTTTCTAGTTGAGGTTTTATTTGCACATATATTTGCATAGAGTTTTATTATTGCTCCTCAAGTGCCCTGATGCTTGGTGGCATCCTATTGTTATCTGGATGGTAAACAGCTGTAACTAACATTTGACTTAATGTTGCACAGACAAGTCATTCATGTGTTTAAATTCCAGATTTATTATTTTTATTATTTCATTCTTGAGATGCGTAAGACATGTTGTTTTATTTTATGTAAAGCAAAGGAAACCCACATAAACCAGAGGTTATTGAACTGGTCTTTGGTTGTAAAAGCATTTCTGATTCCTTTATATCTACAACTTCTGACCAAAGAGGATATCCGAGTGATGACTTGCTTGGTGGACAAATATTTATATATCATTTTTTAATTGCATTAGTTAAAAATAAGGTTTTGGTGTTCGGCATGACAGAAACAGATTTATCTACAACGACAGAGTTTGTGTGCACAAACAAGGAATTTGTCTTTGGTTTTCCATCTTAACAGTACAAACAGCAACAATAATAAAATGTGACTTAAAGGGATAAAAGGAAAATACAATAGGAAAAACAGGATAAATCTTGTATCTACAAGTGTGTGCTATTATACAAATAAGTAAAAGAGGGAAGGCAGTTTGTAATAATGCAACAGACTTTAATTGGTTATTTTATCGTTAGTCAGGACAGTCTATTAAACATGAAAAACAGCAGGTTTAAGGTTATTTAAATGTTCAGTAACAGATTATCTTTTTTATTAAAATTTCTGTTGTGTACTAACTTTTTTATTCTTTAAAAATACAGCTTGTACTCAGGCAGATTATTTTTTTAAAAGATATATTTTTATAATGCAGGGTGTCTAGTCAATCAGGAAAAGACTGCAATTTCTACCCTCTTCAAGTCTGGATAAAATTCGGGAGAAAAAGGAAAACATCTTTTTGTATTGTCCAGTATTTCCTACTGCCCCTTTAAAATTTCCTTCCTTTTATTTTACAACATTCATCTATTCATTATTTTAAAATCTACCCCTTAGGTTCCACATTTAAAGCCTGATCAGTCTGAAAATAGATGTCGGAGAACTTTTTTAGCTATCGTTGTTATACTTTAAAATGACTGGAGCCTTCTTGCATTTCATTCAGGAAATATTTGTTTAAAGATAAATTATGTTTAAAATCAAGCTAGAATCTGTTTTTCCTTCCGGTAAACATTCCACCTGAATGCAGTCTTCATGTCATTCTGACCCGTCACTTTATTGCAGATGGAAACCAAACTATTAAGCTTGTCATGTAGGCCAGTAATGTTGACTTTCATTTGCAGATGCCAGACATTTTCTCTTTTTCTGTTTATAACACTGAAGGTACTGTCAGCTTTTCTGTTTTAAGCTGTTATCTCAGCTATAAAGGTTGACATTTTCCCTCTTGTTGCTGCTCAGGACTGTTGTAATAACTCAAAGTTCAGATGTAGTTCATTGTTCTGTGTTAAAAAAGGCAGCTCTGCTTAATTGAAATATTTGTGTCTCTTCTCTCAGGGACGTGTTACACTGCCTCGACTAAACCCAAGAGATTTTTTTTTTTTTTCTACAAAATAAAAAAGTGTCAGTAAGCTCAGTGTGTCATATGGATTTTTTTTAAATTATTTACCACTAAAGTAAACTTAAAAAATAAATATATGGTGACTGTGTGATTTAAAGCTTTCCTCATGGCTCATACCTATTGCATGTGGCCCAACTTTAATGAGTCCATCTCTCCAATTATGTAGGTTGATTCTCTTATTTCTAAAGCTTAATACCTATTTCTGTAGTTTTGATCATTTATTCAAAACACTCAAAGTCATTCACATAATGGAATTTGAAAGATATACAACAAAGACTTGATCTATAATTTTGTATTGAGGCATGCAATCTGTTATTTTGACACAATAATTTATCTGCCACTTGTTCAATTCAATAATACTTTATTAATCCCAAAAAGAAATTACCAATAATTTAGTTTAATTTTCTTTGTATTTTTTCCCCTAATTTCAGAAGTTCAAACCCATGCATAAGTTTTTAACAAATTGATTATTTCCTCCTATATTTTCCAATAATTAGATTTTGATTGTTACTTAAAGAAAAGGAAAACCCTTAATCTAGTCTGAGAATAAAAATGTTGAGTAATATCAATTAAAAGGGGATGTTTCAATAAGAAATTTCAGGCATCTCAAAAGTTTGTCCATTTTGATGGACTTGGTGCATGGTTTGGCCTCTTTCTGCATCGGTGCAGCAAGGCATTAAGGCAATAAGACAGGGAATTGTATAAAGTGTGATTTTTATTAGGGATACATCTGCTTACTAAAACACTATGTAGAATGATTGTTTCAAAGTTGATGGACAAGTTTAGGGAAAAAAGGAACAATTATTTTCAAATTTGGTTAAAAAAAGTAGGTAAGGTTTGACAGATAACACTATGCCTAAATAGAGAGAAGGTATTTTTTTTTATTTGTTTGTCACATTTGATATTTATTACATAATTAGATCAAGTTTTATAATTGATTCCTTTGTAGAGACATATTCATGATGATATTAGGTCTTTCAAAATTAACCAATTCGGTTACAATGCTAAATGTATTCTATTTAAAGGTACACACAATGCTTCTTTTCTCTGAGATACCAAACAATGCTACTCTTCCTTTTTTGATACTTAACATTAAATCTCACATTTTCAAATGGGCAGATATCTTTTTTTAAACAATGCCGACCATTTATGTAGAGTGGCACACCCTCTTTCTATATAACTTGGTAAACCTGTCAGAGGCACCAAGGAAAATAACAGATGACTCATGCTTATTAGTTCAGAGATTTTTTTGTACACGCAGGTAAATCTCAGGAAATTAGAGCATGTGTTCAGATGAGGCTCATGTGTCAAGTTAAAAGTATTTCTTAAACAGAAATTAAATATACTTTTTATTAAGCCCAAATTTCTGTAATTACCAAAGCATATAGAAATTACAAACAAAGCTGTAACCACTTTTACTTTTCATATTGAAAATAATAATCCCCACAGCATGATTCTCCCACCACCATGTTTATTATGAAGATATTGTGCACAGAGTGTTGTATAGGACTCACAGAAATCACAGCCCTATACATGTAGTGCAAAAATTTATTGTTTCCTCATTTGATCGCAGCTTCTTTTTTCACATTTTATATGTTCCCTATACAGCTTCTGGCTAACACAAACAGGACTGCTAATGGTTTCCTTCTGTTTCAACAATAATTTTCATAAACTTAATATTTTTTGTGAAAGGTTAGTAGTTATACTGTTAACATATTCTATAATCTATACTATAGATTATAGAATATGTAACAGTATAACTGGGGTATAAATGGGTTGGGACAAGTGGGACCAGTGGGCACTGTGTATAGATTCTATACAGTGTGCCCACTGGTCCCACTTGTCCCAACCCATCAAATTTGGTGGACTGCCCAGTCTATATGCAATATTGTAATACTCTTTCCATTTCTGGATAATTAATTAAATAGTGCACCATGAGCATATAGTCAGCATACTGATAACTAAACCCTTTTCTTATTACATTTTTTTTCCTGAGACTACATTACAAACAGAATTTAATTAATTGGAGCAAAGGGTTCATGTACAGATGTAAATCATACTTTTTAAGATTCGAGAATAAAATCATGCATCATTTTCAAGTTTAATGAACAAAAGGGTTGGTTTTTTTTATAAAAATGAATCTGAAAAAACAGAAAGAATAACTCACTTTGGAAATAAAATTTTAAAGCTTTGCAAAGTCCAGGTACATTTGGCTTTCCTTAATTTTAGATCAAAAATACATGAATTATGTAAACGCCCAATGGAAAGCCGAATGTGTGACGCTAAGCATTGCGCATGCCCACTGCAAACATTAGCGCTGCGTTTCAGGAACTCCGTTTTTTACACTTTAATGCTTCAAATATGATAAATGTTACTAATAAAGAGGACAGACATTTAAGTACCAAATATTAACAGGGGTATGAAATCATTTCTTTCAAGAATACACTTGCACATCAATATATTTCAAATATTCTGTCGGCACCATTGTGACGTTTATAGGTATAATTTACGAGCTACACCTGAAGGCAACATTCTGATGCCTCATTCATGGCGATTAATATCAAGCTAGCCTGTTATCACGCGCTGAACTGAATTTATTACAACTGCTGCAATAGTAATGTGATTAATTTATATCATAATCGTTATAATAACTAGTGAATATCCCTAACACTTTCCTGCGCAGGGGACTAGGAACGAACGTGTCGTGTTATGGGAGAAACACGGAGGTCAGACGAACGGTGGACTGTCAACAACAATTATGTCCGTGTGAAACGACCCTTCATCTGCTTTCTATCTATATTATAGCACCGGTAAGGTTATTAAGGTTCACAGTATGGGTCAAAAATGTTTTATTGTATGTGCCGTTCCTCTACAGGGATGTTCTTAAAAACATGGCCGATCAGGTAACCAGCGCTAACGAGATTGACTGCAGTGCAGTTAAACCTAAGTGGCTTTCAGCCTAGCCTTCTTTGCTAACATAATCTAGCTAACTGCGGTCATGGTTATATATGGCAACGTTGAATTCATGTTCCAACTGCTTTAAATGCTACTATATCAGAGACTGAGAAAAAATTTAATTATTAATTATTTGCTGATGATATTGTAAATTGAGGACAGGTCTCTGGAAGTATGTTGTAACGGCTGTTCTTAAGGTTTACCACTGTTTGCTGGAAAATCGCGGCATTGGTTATTTCAGCTTCCAGTTGTAGGGTTGTGCTTATTTTTTTGTTGATGTGAAATACTTTGACAGATTCCTTTGAAACATGCCTGGGAAACTAAAGGCCAAAATTGTGGCAGGGCGCCACTTGCCTGTGATGGACAGGGCAAGTGACCTAACGGATGCTTTTGTAGAGGTAAGAAAACATGATGCTTTTACTGCTATGGTTTTCTATTTTTCATTTTTAAGCAATTCAGTCTTAACACAATTAAAAATGTAAGGCATCATAAAGCACGTGGAATTAGTCGTGAGACAGAACCCTGAGATGGATAGTGGTCTATTTCAGAGAAAAGCGAATCTAAAGCATCTTTGTTTAATGATAAACATAATGGCCATATGTGATGCTTCAATATTTGTAGAGTCTAACTCACTTAAATAAATAAATAAAATTACACTTTCAAACTTTGGCTCTTTAGGTGCATCTTTTTAATTCTTTGTGATTCCTTTAGTTTGTCAGTAACAAATATTAGTCCAAACATTTTCAGGTTTTGATTAATGAAACATGGTTTGTGCTCCAGAGAAAATGTGAAATTTGGAAAATGTGTTGATATATATATTTTTTTTATGTCTTGTCATTTTTTTAAAGGTATGTTATGTTAAATTATAACAGGCTTTCTGTTTCCTTGTCTGTTTTGTATGCAACACATTTTCATTGAGGATTTTTAGTTGCATGGGAGTTTGCCCAACCAGTCTACATGTGTTTTGTGGATCTAGAGAAGGCATTCAACCGTGACCCTCTGGGGGTCCTGTGGGGGGGTACTCCGGGAGTATGGAGTACCAGGCCCTTTAATAGGAACTGTTAGGTCTCTGTACGACCAGTGTAAGAGCCTGGTCGGCATTGCCGGCAGTAAGTCGGACTCGTTTCTGGTGAGTGTTGGACTCCGCCAAGGTTGCCCTTTGTCACCGATTCTGTTCATGACTTTTATGTACAGAATTTCTAGGCGCAACCAAGGTGT